ACCTTTCGGTTACTGTGGGCGGTCGTTCTTCAATATTTTCGGGTGTGAAAAACGCGGGTTTTAACCGCTCTACAGATACATTCTGCGCCACCCCGTTTATCTCTATTTGGTAAACTTGGTCCGATATCTTTTCTAAAACTCTGTGTGGCCCGGTGTACGGTCGTTCTAGCGGCCGTTTTACCGCGCCCACGCGTAACAATACGTGTGTACAATCACGTAGTTCTTTAAATCTAAATACACGTTTTCTATTTCTATGTACCACTGGTACTGGCCTTACAACTCGAATGAACTCTCTGAATTCCCCGAGGAACATCTCCAGGTTTGGGGCGAAATTGCCCTCTAAAACGAATTCCCCCGGAATGCGCATAGTCGTACCGAACATGAATTCCGCGGGCGACGCGTTGGTATCTAACCGTACCCGCGAACGCAACCCTAGCAATACCGTTGGAAGTTTCCGTGACCAATTTGTCTCACACGCGTGGCACATGAACGCCGCTTTCAGGTCTCGGTGCCACCGCACGATCATCCCGTTGGATGCCGGGTGATATGTGGTCGTTCTCGTTCGTTGGCACCCGATGAGCGACAGTAACGACGCAAAGAATTGGGACTCAAACTGTGTCCCCTGGTCAGTTGTCACTACCTTGGGGGCTCCGTAACGAGACACCCAGGTATCGAAAAATGCTTTCGCCACCGTTGGCGCCCCTATTTCACGTAACGGCACGGCTTCAGGCCATCGGGAGAACCGGTCGGTCATCGTCAATATATACCGATATCCGTCCGATTCCCGCAACGGCCCTACTATATCCACGTGGATTTGGTCGTTCCGACCATCGGGTGCCACAAACGGTGCCGGATTGTTCCGCACGTGGCGCGTGACCTTTGATGTTTGGCACGGAATGCAATTTTTGCACCAGCTCGACACGTCGCGACACATATTCGGCCATACGTATCTTTGCCGAATTATCCTGCCCGTTACCTTCGCGCTCGGATGTGCCAGCGCGTGAAAGAAATGGAAAACTTTTTTCCTTAGGGCACTGGGTATGTAAGGGCGCACAGTTTCGCCGGACTGTTCACAATACAATCGCGTGTGGGCCGGATCCCACATAAGCCGCACGAGTTTGAGAGGATGGTTGACATCGTCTCGAATCCTCTCCAACTCGTCGTCACTCTCTTGTGCCTGCGCCAGTTCGCACAGCTCAATGTCCGTGGGCAGTCTTATGGACTCTATGCGCGACATTGAATCGGCCACGATGTTGTCGACCCCTGGAAGGAATTCGATCTGGGTCGTAAACTGACTTATATACGACAGCATGCGCACCTGACGCGGATCGGCCTTATCAGCGCGCTGCATAAATGCATATATAAGCGGTTTATGATCCGTCACGATTTTAAACTCGTGTCCTTCCAGGAAATTCTTAAATTGTTTCACAGCAGAATAAGCTGCTGTCAACTCCCGATCTGTACCTCTGTTGAGCGGGATTGAATTTCCTTGAATAAAATGCCAGACGTTTCCACGTATCCTCTAGTTTTTGTTCTAACACCGCCCCCATTGCAAATTCGGATGCGTCTGTGACCACCCGCGTCTCGACGTCCCCCGAGGGATGCGCTATCAAGGTCGCGTTTACAAGGCTTTCCTTGACTTTCCGAAAGGACTCTTCGGCCTCTACCGACCAATTAATTTTCGTTTTATCCTTTCGCCGTGACTGCGTAAGGTACGCGTTTAAGGGTGCTTCGAGAGTGGCGGCATGAGGTGTACTCCGTCTATAAAAATTTATTATTCCAAGAAATCGACGCAACTCGACGATTGTCTTTTGTCGTGGGGAAAATCTTCGAAAGACTCCCTCCCACCTCTTTGGGGAGAGGCGGGAGGGGTGTGTGGGATTCCCCGCGCCCATTACTTTTATAACGGGCGCGGGGACCTACCCACTAAAAACCCCACGTGACCCTTCCGCACGATTTGGGAGGATACAGGGAATCGCTCGAAGCATACTTCCCGCGGTCTCCTTCTGCAACATTACGATTTCGCAGAAGGAGGCCACGGCCCTCCACTTCTCCTCGCTGCCGAGCATGGCGCGCACCATGCCCGGCAGCGAGACATCCCGCCCGATGACGCCGATCAGGACACGGCGTTCACCCTCCCATGCAGCGCATACCTCGAGGGTATGTTCCGCCGTGTCCTGCTCAGCGTCACAATGGCAGCAACGCGCCGTCGGCTCCTTCCCTATCCGCCAAAGCCACCCCTCCCCGGGAGACGGCCGACTCCGAGAGGGCCCTGACACGACCTATCGCGTCGATGGTCGATCGACCCTCCCGGAAACCGTACTGGCAGTCGGCCAGGCCGGGGGCACCCCGCGCCAGGTGCTCGACGAGGCGGGCAGCAATCACCCGCTCGAAGAGCTTGCCCACCTCGTCGAGGAGACAGATGGGCCGGTATGCGGAGGGAGACTCCGCGGGCCGACCCTCCTTCCGGAGGAGGACCATCCTCGCCACCTTCCAACTGGGGGGGAATCGCCCGTCCCTCAGGCATCGGTCGAACAACCGCCTGAGGTCAGCCCCAAGGACGCCCTGGGTCAAGACCCAAACCCGGCCGGGCACACCATCCGGACCCGGGGCCGTGTTACGCGCCCCGAGCCGTCTGATGGCCGCGGCCAGCTCCCCCTGAGTGACCCCCAGTTCGGCCGCCCACTCCCTTGGGACTGCCGCCTCCGCCGGAGGACGTGGTCCCCTCACCCGAATTGGGAAAAGAGTATTGACCACGTCCTCCAGCAGCCGGGGGTCAAGACCCTCGGTGACGGGGGGCGCCCACGGGCGGAGCTTCTTCAGCACCACCCTGTACGGGCGCCCCCAAGGATCGTCATCGAGGGTCTGGAGGAGATCCTTCCATGCCTGGGCCTCGGCCCGTTTGATGGCGACCTGCAGAGCAACCCGCGCCATCCGGTATGCCTCATACAGGTCATCTGCCCTCGCTCGCGCCACGCCATCGTCCGGTCGTAGACGACGGCGCGCGCGGGCGTACTGGCGTCGGGCGCGGACACTCGCGACCCGCAATTCCGCGATCGCGGCCGACCACCAGTACACCGCCCGGCCCTGTCGAGGAGCTGCTTCCCTTTGAGGTCCACCAGGAGGCCGAAGTGCGCCAGGAAGTCGGCGCCGATGATCGGCTTCGAAACGTCGGCGACGACGAACCTCCAAACGAAGGCGCGTCGGAGTCCCAGGTCGAGACTCGCTGGCTTCAATCCGTACGTCGGGATAATCGACCCGTTGGCGGCGAAGAGCTCGTACTTGGTCTTGGAGAGCGGACCCTTGATGAACGAGCGCGGGTAAACGCACAGGTCCGACCCCGTATCGACCAAGTACTCTTCGTTTCGAGCCCGGTCGAGGACGAAAAGGCGGCAGGTACGTGGTCCATCACTGACTGCCGCGTTCAGTGCTGGGTGGTCGAGTTTCCCGACGTGTATGCACACGGCTGTCGGCACTTCGTCGACCTGTCCCCGAACGTCCGGTGGTACCAGCAGTGGTCCATTTGCTGGGGGGATTGGCTTCTCCTCCGCGATTTTGACCTCCGGCGGTTCCTGGAGGCACTGCGTGGAGCTCGCGATCGGCCGAACTCGTTCATCCGGAGTTCCATCGCCTCCAGCCGTCGCACCAACTTCTCCATGACGCTGTCTTGCGTCGTAGCTCCATGGGCTGCTGCTACGGCGGCTATCTGGGGCTGGTTCGTCCCCTCGTGGATTTGGTCGGCTATTTCCGGCCAAAACGGCGGCACTTTTATGTCGACGCGCTCTATTTCGGGCGTCGCGACGCTGCCCAGACTCGCGGCACTACCCCGAACCGCGGCACTTGGTCCATTTCCGGCCGACTGCATTGTCTTTCGCAGGTTAAAAGTCAAAAATAAAATACACAAAAACTAGTAAAAAATAAAAAAAAAGATTGTCACTTCCTACTCTAGATCACGTCGTAGGTCACCAATGTTGGGATAGGTTGTTGGCGATTACTTTCTTTAAATAGGTTTGAAAAGAAGGAATAAAACACTTTCCTTATAAATACACAGTTTATTATAATGTTTCATTCACGTCTATGCACGCAGTGTATACGCGTACCAGTATGAAATAGTATGAAGGGTGTTTGGAACTTTGCGATGCACACTGACGGCCAGATACTTTCGGACTGCACGGTCGTCGCTTTTGTCCCTGCTGGGACCCCCGCCCCTTTTTCTGCTTAAGGAAAAAAACAGACCCCCTTTCCCCAAGGCCTTTAAGTGGAAATCGTTGCATTCCAACATAGGTTGTCGTAGGAAATCACTCTTTGTGGGGTGACAAAACTTTCTTTATTTTTCGTTGTTTTTGGTTAGAGCGCGCAAAACCAAGTGTGGTTATTCCTCGCTCGTCTCCGTGTCGACCCCTCGGTTGCACTGGCAAAATTGTTAAACAACCCTGATTGGTTAACCCCACGCGTTGGGCCTTTCCAATCAGGGCCGTTTATTTTTCCCAAATCACCGCCTATTTCTTACGCCCACGGCGTGCTTGTTTTCGAAACGGCGTGGTGATTGAGGGGGACGACGTTGCGCCCTCACTGCAAGATTTCCTTCGGACCACCCGCGCTGGGCCCACTTGGCGAAACTCCGATGGGTACGCGTCGAGTGTCCTCTGGAAATCCCTAATTTACGACGGTCTCTATTTGCTGTTGAGGGACTTAGGAAAAGAATTTACTAAACGCATTCGATACGCGAGTCTGGAAAATATCTTCCTCAAAAACAGCTTCGACGAACGAGAGTCGTAAATTACGTGGGCCGTTTGCACGAAAGAAAAACTTTCCCATGTGCGCACGACCGGTCGCTACAGGTGTAATCACGGCGGTCTTAGGAACGTCCTCCGGCGCTACCGGGATCTGCTGGTAGGCTTGATGAATATCCAAGCAAGAAAATACTGTTTTTCTGTATAAATTTACTGAAAAATCGTGAATGTGCGATAAGGGATGCCTATCCGGAACTGTAATGTTGTTTAACGCGTGATAATCCCCGCACACTCTCCATTCCCCATCTTTTTTGGGGACCCAGCCTCCATCAGATGTCGAAACTCCAGCTTAGCTGCTCTGAGTTTGCCTGGTGCGAGGCGCCTAGCGCGCGAGGCAACCGGATGCCCTTTGGTCTGAATGTAATGGAATACCCCACGTTCCTGTAGCGGAACTGTTTGGGATATTCCCGTCACTTCCGGAAATTCGAGTAATATGCCCGCGATTCCCGATGAGCGATCAACGGTGTGCGTCGAGACGTGGTTCACGTTCTTTGTCGTGCACCAAATTTGCAATTTGGTCAGCGCATCTATTATTTTAGGCCCTCTCAAGTCCACGGTGATGCCGTAGTGCGTCAACAAATCAGCACCTACGTTCGGGTATGGCACGTCTGCTACGCAAAAATTCCATGTGATCGGTCGTCGTAGACCGATTTCAATGGTGCGCGTCGACTCGCCATACGTGTCGACACGCGTATTGTTCGCGGCATAGAGCCGCAGACCACTGGCCACGGGCTTGCAATTCCTGGCTACAGGCAAGAGGGAGATGTCTGAACCCGTATCTATTAAAAATATTTGTCCCGAAATTCTGTCCTGGACGTGGAGACGTTTTGAATTTAATACTGACTTACTACCCTCACACCCTGTCCCCGCAGGGAAAGGTATCTCTAGTTTTCCGTCCGCGGTGACGGTTTCGGCCACGTACATTTTTCGGGGTCCTTGCACGCGTATGCCTTCGCCCCGAATTTACTATGCGCCCAGCACACCGCGGGGGTTAGCGTCGGAGCCGCTCGACTTCGCTCGCTCGAACGACCGGCAAACCCGCGTTGCCGTGACTTCGACCGCGACCGCGACATCGCTTTCTCGAGGCGCTCGAAGCTGGCCGACATCTTTAATACCGCGTCGGTCAGTTTGTCGAGCTTCGCCTCCATCGAATCGCGGTTCGACCGATGCGACGACGTGGCTGCTTTGTGAAGTGGGCTCGAATATTTTATCCGCAAGTTCGGCGAGATCTTGTAATTTCGCCACTTTTGCCGCTACTAAAATGGTTTTCACCATTTCTGGCATTTGCTCCAAAAAAATAGAGCGTATCACCTCGTCGTCGCATCGACCGTCGTCCAGGGCACGCAACCGATATAATACTTGCGACGGTTTCCCTTCTGTCGTAACCTGCCCCTTCAATAACAGCCGGAACCGGCTTTTCGCCGATGCCGCGTACGCAGACATAATACGCGCTTTTACAAGATCGTATATCTCGTCCGATCGTGGCCCCGTTAGCAAATCCCTAATGGAGGATACGACCTCCGGATCTAACGCCGTGACTAGGTAATCTACCCGCGTTCTCGCATTCGTTATCCGTGCGGTATTGAATGTAGCCTCTACTTGCCCACATTCCGTGTCTATCTTCTAGGGATCAATTTCAAAATTGTAACCGATTGCAATGCTATAAAAGCCACCAGTACAAAAAGGGATATCGTGCCGCGAATTGCTAGGTGGTGGGTCTTTCTGCAGGATTTCACCTTTGAATTAGAATATAGAAAAGGCAAGCAGGTAGAACATGTTGACTACCTGAATAGGAACCCACGCAGAGATTACCGAGTGGATTTTGTTTGCGAGGGGTCCTGGTTAGAAGTAGTACAAAAAAAAGACGAAGAGACTCAAAATATTATAAGCAAAGTACAATCAAATCATACCATCGCGTCGGATTTTGAAATAAGAAACGGAATTTTGTGTAGGAAAATACGTAGGGACACCGGGCGGATAATATATCGTAGTTTTGTTCCTAAAGGAAGCAGACTTGCAGTGCTGCGTCTGTATCACGATGAAAACTGCCACGTTGGGTTCGACAAAACATATGATCGTGTAGCACAGAAGTATTGGTATCCAAGGATGCGTACATTTGTAAAAAAATATATCGATCATTGCATCACTTGTATAGTCTCCAAGCGCCATACAGGACCGCGTCAGGGATTTTTACATTCAATACCGAAAAAATCGTTACCGTTTGATACTATACAGTGTGATTGTGTTGGTCCATTTGTTGCTACCAAAAAAGGTTATCAACATATTTTAATAATCGTAGATGCGTTCACAAAATATATACAGTTGATACCATTAAAAACTTTAAGCGGCACGGAGACATTACAAGTGTTCAAAGAAAGAATCACTTTGTTCGGAACACCGCGCTTAGTAATTTTAGACAGAGGTACAAATTTCACATATAAACCGGTGAAGCAGTTTATAGAAAAACATGGAAGTGAGGTACATACATTTCATTGCTACCGGGGCTCCACGGGCCAATGGGCAAGCCGAGCGGTATGTGGCAACCGTAACGAATCTTCTTACCGTAGAAACAAAAAAAGGGTCAGAATGGTCGAGCAAGTTGGCTAAGCTAATGCTCACTTTAAATACAACCGTACAAAAGACGACTGGATTCGCGCCTAGTAGATTATTGTTTGGATTAGAACAGGGCTTAGGTACTATAATGCGCGCGGAAGAAGCATTACCACCGACAAATGAGGTAGTTGATGTGCTTAACGACAGAAACGTGGCAGCTAAACGACTAGAGGAAAACGCGATAGCTCAGGAGACTAGATTTAATAAGGCACGCAGGAATAATGTTGTATTCGAGGAGGGCGATACAGTATTTCTTAAACCTGCTGACGACAGGAGAGCGAAATTAGAGGATAAATACATAGGCCCGTTCACCATTTTAAAAGTCCTAACAAACGACCGCTATGAAATTTTAGGGAAGTCAGGTAGACCCCAAACGGTTCCCAAAGACCGTTTAAGAGCTTGTAGGGGTGATTGGCAAGGAGACTTTGAAAGTGAAAATGAAGATATCGAGTCGGTTTAATAGCCGTGTTAGCGTACGCAAATATAATATTTTGTTGTTTAATACTTTAGTGTTGTAAACTATGCTAAGTAGCATTTCGCTTATTACGTTTCTTTTAGTTGCATTAGTTGAATTGTATTTACTCCTTATGTAAAAGTATGTCTATTTCGATGTGCGCTAGTAACTTAATATTGTAATAGAAATATACAAGAGCTACTTAAAAGAAATGGTTGAGTAATTTACTGCATTATACAAAATTATTATGAGATGTACTTGACTATTGAGATATTACAAGATACATTTGGTTGCATATTGTTATTGGTAGCACAAGCATGATCACATACTCCGTAAAGCGCGGCATAGCGTCGGTAAAGGTGACATGCGTAGCGGCTGCAGATTAGAAAAGAGTTGAGTAAAGAGATAATATACAGCACATTCGCGAACTCCGTAAAGCGTAAAGACGTCGGAAAGGGCGATGGGAAAGATGATCACGAACTCTGTAAAGCGCTGAGACGTCGGACTAGGTGACATCTGATTGTGTGGTGGATATGGCCTATATACAGCATGGAATGTACGATTGTCATATACTGGTGTGAAGTGCATAGTAATCAAGTGGGTTGCAATTGGGAAGTAAAAACAGATGTGCGAATGGATGCTTCCCGAGAGCGTGATGCATGTCAGATTGGCCGTGTTAGCGGCAATGCATTTTCCAAGAGAATCGAAAGTAAGGACCACCGAAGGACACTCAGTCTACGATAGATTTATGACAGAGTTTTGGGGTGCATGTGGCCTAAAGAGCGAATGAGACTGAACAGGCCTGGCGTCGGGCGACGCGATAGCGGACAACCGCGTTGGGTCTCCAGCTAGCGCGTGTCAAGGCATTGATTGTTCAGGGATAGAGAGAGAGTAGTTAAAAGAGGCAGACAACCTGACGTCGTACTGCTAGAAAAATAAAGACTTTGTCCTGAAGGATCTGGCCACGGAGTGGGGAAGGCGTGGGACCTTCCGGTAAGAGCACTGTGAGGAACGGCACGGGACTTACCCCAGAACTGTCAAGGGCAAAACTTCTAACATGTATGTATGGCAAAACATGCGAACGCGAGCGAACACGAGCGAACACGAGCGAACTCGAGAAGACGCGCTTCTTTTGTCTCTGAGCTACCGTGTTTTACGGTTTACATGTATCAGTTCAAATATTGTCCTCGTGCGAATCAGTCGCGGCATACCGAATACAATACGTTACAAATAATACAGTGTGGTTTCATTCTTTCATATCCACCTATCCACTGCATATAAGCCTCAACAGGTTATGGGCCCAGGTGGATGTTAAATTGCGTTGGGAAAAGATTGAATAAGTGCCACGATACGGAATAATATTCGAAAAATATTTCGTGAGTGCGTAGTGTGCCGGTCGTTGAAATCAAGATGGCTACCTCGAATACGATACGTATCGAACCGTTGAGAAAAGACAATTATGATACATGGAAGATACAAGTGCAAGCGTTATTGATCAAAAACGACAATTGGAAGTACGTAAATGGCAGTACAAAGAGACCAGATGTGTCTCAGAGTGCGGAAACGATTGCAGCGGCGCGAGGATGGGACGAAGCAGATGCCAAGGCAAGATCGGATTTGATCTTAGCGATTAGTCCGTCTGAACTCAAACAAATAAAGAATTGTAGAACATCGAATGAGATGTGGAAAAAGCTGGAAGAAATTTACCAGTCAAAGGGACCTGCGCGAAAAGCGATATTACTAAAGCAACTTACACTGCGAAAGATGGCGGAAGGCGACGACATAAGACAACATATTAACAGTGTTGCGGCTCGCGGTATCCGTTGAGTAAACGATCGGCACTCAACGTCGGGCTCGCGTCTTTCCGAAATAAATTACTTATTCCGAATGAAGGAGTTAGAGAATGATTGACTTATGATTTTGATTATGTACAAGGTTTATTGATGGTTCAAGCTATTTTTGGTTTTACAATGATGATGGTCGAAGATGTGTTCGTAGGCGATGTTGCAGAACCAAGTCCCTTTTTTCTCGTCGCTTGGCCTTTTCAAGACTTCAATGCCGTCTCCTCCCTTCCAACTCGCCCTTACGCGGTGCCCTTGGAAGGGGGTGCGTGTCGCGTGGGAGTGTTGACTTCGTTGGTAGCGTTCCTGCTTTCCTGGTCGTCGTCGTCGTCGTCGTTAGGGAAAGTGGAATCGCGGCAAGTTTATGCAGAGGGCTGGGCTGGCCTGCAGATGCCGGATTTTTGGCCAGCACGCTGCTGACGGACCCAGCCCCTGTCATAAACACCACTTGGCCGTGCCTTTGTTTAGGCCTGCAGCGCATTGTAACAATGCCTTATCCTTGAGGAGTTTGCTAGCTTCGAGTTTTGGAGATTTATGCCAGAGCTGAGTACTGGCACGCACGTGTGGTTCTCGAGTGACTAACGTCGATGTTCTATCCTGGCATAAATCTCGCTTTGTTGCGTTCTTTCTCTGTTCGGGTTTTTTTTTGTTGAGCGCGGTACTGGACGCAACGTGTCCGCTTCCGCGCTCAACAAACAGTTTCTTCGATGCCGTGGACAAGCTGGAAGATATGGAGGTAAAAGTTAACCCGGATATGTTGGCTGTTTTGTTGTTGTACAGTTTGCCCAGTTCGTTCGAGAATTTTCGGGTGGCTATAGAGACGAGGGACGAATACCCTTCACCCGAGGCCCTCAAAATAAAAATACTTGAGGAGAGCGACTCGCGAACGAACAAGGGGGACGAACCATGCGGTAGCGCGATGTGGATTCGAAAGTCAAACCGACAAAACAAAACAACACAAGGAGACACAACACACGGTGACAGTTATAACACAGAACGGAATAATCCGAGAAATT